GTACAATCATTTTTGCAATTATTACAAAAAGTGGTGTCAACTGATTTTTATGTGTATTTTTAATTTATGTTTTGTTTCTAAATTTTGATTATGAAAATCAGGAACTTTTTATATTTGCCTTTGCTCACAAGAAGCAAAAGGGGTTTTTTTTTGTTACAAAGTAAACATATGCTCATAACCTTGAATAATTGTCTTGGGTTTTGAAAAGCTCTGAGCTCCTCTCCCCAGCTGGCACTTCGGAAACGCATGCCAAAATACCATGGACTTTTCAAGTCGACATGAAGTCTCACAAGTACGCCTATTTTTGTGACGCTTCCTGCTGAGTTTTTAAAGCCCAAGGAGCTCAAACAGTGTGTGTAGCTTTGGCATCCTCCTGTTGTTTATGCTGTGCAACCCAGACTCTACATAGTTTGAAATCCTTCTGTCAGTTTTATATACACCTGTGGGCTAATAACGTGCTGCTCATTAAACCCACCAGCATGTCCCCTGAAACACATACAGAAAGTATACTGATGCCAAAACATGGAAGTTGTGCTATTCTAACAATCTGTTTTAGAAGCTTTGATGTACATAATAGAGATCTAACTCTGCACGCCATATGTAGTATAGGATGGTCATTCCACTCTCACCAGGTTTTACTCCAATAATCTCATCATACTTTTGTCAGGCTCAATGTTTAAACATTGTTAAATACTGATGTTGGAGTCTCTGTTCCCTTACAACAGGTGTGTTCTTAGGGTTCCCTCTGGAAGTAAAAATAAAACCCTCTCCAAATAAAAATGCAATTTGTACACCTTCAAGGAGCCCTTGGTGGCGCAGTGGGTTAAAGCACTGAGCTTCTGAACTTGTTATCCGAAAGGAGTGGGCTGAACTCCTGCTGTTAGCTCCAGCTTCTGCCAACCTAGCAGTTCATAAGCATGCAAATGTGAGTAGATCAATAGGTACCGCTCTGGTGGGAAGGTAATGGCACTCCATGCAGCCATGCCTGCCACATGACCTAGGAGGTGTCTTCGGCTTAGAAATGGAGATGGACATGACTGGACTCAATGTCAGGGGAAAACCTTTACCTTTTACCTAAACCTGCAAGAACACCTTTATTAAGATTAAGTCCCTCAACAATGACTTTATGGACAACTGAAGTTGAAAGCTGGCCACAACATTGCACTCTATGGTCTAAAAATTCGGGTCCTCCAGTGAAAAGTCATTTCTGGAGAACATTCCTGGAGGATCTAGAGGTTGCTAGAGATTTTAATCAAATCTATGAATAATCAAATCCGCTAAAGACAACCTCCAAATATGGAGGGCAACCAGTATGCATTTCCTGTTCTGACCATTGTAAGTATCCTTTCAGCAGCCTTGAGGTTTTTTCAAAAAGATATTTCACAGAAAATCATAATGATCAGACTAATTTGAAACCCGTCTTATAACTCACATATGGTGAAAGTGATTGGCTGGGTCAGCTGATCAGGTGATCATCTGTCTATTGCATTTTATAGGGTTGCCAGAGTAAAAACTGAAGAGTGTTCATATATATCTTTAATCATTATGCAGAAGAGGGTATTTATCTAAGCAGGTGTTGCAGTTGTATGATAGCGGCACCTTCTAAAATTTATTGTTTATATGTATGTGTGTGACTCCAAGTTCCATGTTGACTTTTTCCTACCCCCTCTCCCAATGAATTTCATAGGGTTTTCTTAGGCACTAAACACCCAGAGGTGGTCTCCAATGCAAGTACTAACCAGGGCTGACCTTGGTTAGCTTCCAAGATCAAATGGGATCCAGTGCCTTTTGGACATTTCTACACAGCCATTGATAGTATCTGGTTTTCAATCTGAAAACTCTAGTTGTCAGCATTCATTACATGTATTGTGTTTGCTGTATTTGAGGTTGCAGAGAGGTAGGTTCTGAATAACCCTCTGGAGACGCTTATCTGGAGTCCTAATGATATCTGAAAAGGATATCAAGTTTATTTCAATATTGATACACAGCTTAACTTGCCAGGGTGCAACCCTCCTTGAATCCACAACAAGTACTGGGAACATGATATTGCTTGGATAATGAAGATTTTATTTCTTAAGATTTATTTATAACAGCATCCTGGGTGTTTCCTGTTAAACTGTGTCTGAGATGAATATATGATGTACCTACTCTCAGGTCAAGCCCATCACCAGAGAGTGGTTCAGTTTCAAAGAACAACACCAGACCTGTTTAGTTAAGGAGCTGAAATGGGAGAACTGGCAACAGTTTTATAGCTTGACTAATCAAGGAGAGGGTGAATTATTCAGAAGGAAGAGGCTTTAAAACAGGAGTCCTCAAGCCGGGGGCCAGTTCACTATCTGTCAGACTGGGCAGGGAATGGGATGGGACTATAATTTGAAAACAAAAGCATGAATGAATTCCTATGCACACTGCTCATATCTTATTAGTAGTGCAAATATATATTGAAAGAACCATTTTAACCAACATAAACCTACTGGTATTTCAATGGGAACTGTGGGCCTGCTTCTGGCTGATGAGATAGTCAAGTTAATTAGTATTGTTGTTGTGTGCCTTCAAGTCATTTCAGACTAAGGCTGATTCTCAGTCTAAAGTTTAGGATGAGGACTGGGTAAATGACCTTGGAGGGCCTTATTCGGCCTGTGGCCTTAGTTTGGGGACCCCTACTTTAGAAAGTAGGGGCCCTTGAGTAGACAAATTCCTTGAGGCAGTCTTTTTGGGAGAATGGGTGCATTCTAGAATATGAATGTGATATGTGAAAGTACCTTTGATTATATAAATGTAATAAAAAAAAGTTAGGACAAACATGGCTTCAGTAATTAGATCATGCCATCGAAGCACAAAATTATTATTACAGATTTTCATCTTCTTAATGTTGTGCTTTCCATTAAAGGCACATAAACTTCCACTATCTCCAGTTGGATAATTTAGTTATAAGAAGATAGACTGATGTGAAAATCAAAGACTAGGAAGAAAGGGGCAGAGCAGTGGGTATGTTGGAAATGTGAGAGAAATAAAGTTGAACACTGAAAGTCACCCACTACATAGCTACCAGCCTCCTCCCAATAGACTCAAATCAAGGAAAAGCTTTATGAGAACTACCACTCCTCTTGGCGTCCCTCCAGCAACAGCAAGGGTATCCCTTGGGGCAGCTAAATCAGGAAATCCCAACTGGATGCCCCCCCCCCCCGTGAGGGTCTTCCTCCAGGGGCAAACCAAGAATGGGCAACTTGGAAGTCCCTGAATAGACTCAGAAGCGGAGTGGGCAGATCAAAAGACAAACTGGCAAAATTGCACTATCTAAAAGAATCCCACACCTTGTGTAACTGTGGAGCAGAACAGACAACTCCGCATCTGTATGCTTGTCCACTATGCCCTGCCTCATGTACAGAGGAAAAATTGTTGGAGGCTACAGACAATGCCATTGCTGTTGCCCGTTTTTGGTCAAAAGATATTTAGTTGCCTGCACACCTTCTATTTTTATCAGTTTTATACTAATTTATGTAATGCTTTTGATACAAAATAATTGTTGGAAATATGAGCGGGCCAAGGAGCTATGGACATGTGGATTACAATGCACATATACATAGCAAACATTCAATGCCATTAGACATACAATATATATAGACAGACAGAGGCAATTTAACATTCAAGCTTTCCAGCTTAATGAGGGTATGCTCGATTCCGGCCACAAGGGGAGCTGCTGCTTCACCATCCACTTGTGACACCAAGTCCTTGATGGAGTATTTCCTCATTCTTATGCACACTGCTGAAAGGTTTTATGGTGTCATGAGTTAGTTAAACTAGCCTTCCGCCATAAAGCGGGACCTAAATTTCCTACTTGACAGATGAAACTGTCTTTTGGGCTTCACAGGTCAACAGCATGCTAGACCATTAATGGTCGGGAGCATACTCGGACCTGGGTTGGCTTGGAACTCATGACCTCTCGGTCAGTAGTGATTTAGTGCAGCTGGCTCCTAAGTAACTGCGCCACTGTGCTATGCAGTGAGTTATGTGTGGTGTCAAATGCAGTTTTGTATACAAGATCCTACCCTCAAAGTGGAATCTGACTAGGTACTTTCTAAAGTACCACATGGTCATTTCTTTGAATTATTCACTCTGGTTGAAGCCAAAAAGAGAAATTGGGGAAAGACACAATGAGATAAAAATCAGTATTTGGGGCTTGGGAGTGGGACTTTCCATTCTGTTCCAATAGGATAAGGGGCAGTCTTCATTCCCGAGCATTACTCTCTTAATCAGTCATTCTCAAACTGTGGGTCCCCAGATGTTTTGGCCTTCAACTCTTAGAAATCCTAACAGCTGGTAAACTGACAGGATTTCTGGGAGTTGTAGGCCAAAACATCCAGGTAGAGCCACTGCTCTTAATGGTGGGAAGGGGATTGTTTTTAAAATACATCATATGGATAACATTATGATTGGATTTCTATTACTAAATTCATGATTAAAGGCTGTCTTCAGGAACACTGATTTTCACTGGAAGTCATTAATTTTTGGGATGAGGCCATGAGTCATTATAATGCAATTTAGAATTGCAAGTGGTATATATATCTACATCAGTCTACTCATGAACGTATCTCTTAAAATTTTTCAAGAGTATCATCTTAGGTTCTTGTAGGTTTTTTCAGGCTATAGGGCCATGTTCTAGAGGCATTTCTCCTGACGTTTCGCCTGCATCTATGGCAAGCATCCTCAGAGGTAGTGCTCTGAGGATGCTTGCCATAGATGCAGGCGAAACGTCAGGAGAAATGCCTCTAGAACATGGCCCTATAGCCTGAAAAAACCTACAAGAACCTAGTGATTCCAGCCATGAAAGCCTTCGACAGTATCATCTTAATCAAGATCTAGCAAAAGCCTAGGAATCTTTGCCTCTTAATATTTTTCTTTCTTTCTAGACTTCAAAATCTTATAGAATGTATTATTTTATTTATTTAAATAACTATCATGATCTAACAATTTCCCACTTTCTTCTGTTTTGTTTTTAGGACCCAGCATTTTCTTCAGCCATCCATGATAAACTGCAGGTGCCCAACACAACCCGAAAAGCATGGAATGAAAGAGATAACCGGTGTGATGTTTGTGCCACTCACTTGAACCAACTAAAGCAGGAGGCCATTCAGATGGTATTGACGCTTGAACAGACTACCAACACTGAACACTGTGATGCTTCTCCTGGCTCCCCTCCTCCCCTCCCTAATATTCCCGCCTTAGTGGGCTCTCGACACATGGGCAGCCTGCAGCCCAGGGACTGGGCATATATGTCTGCCCCTTATGCTACTTCCAATTACACTGGCTTTCTGCCTAACAAACTCAGCGGGAAATCGAACAACATAGGGATCGTTAATGGAGTAGAGAAGAAAAATGGCTCCTTGGGACACCAGGCAAAGGTCAGTGTGCAAATGGCCACCAGCCCCAGCAATGGTAACATCCTGAATTCAGTGGCTATCCAGGCTCACCAATACCTAGACGGCACCTGGTCCTTGTCAAGAACTAATGGCATTACTCTGTACCCCTATCAAGTAAGTAGTGTTAGGATTTTACCCCACTGGAATATTTCTGAAGAGTACTTTTTGACTTTAAATAGTATGAATTAAATAATAACATGATACAACACTATCATATTATTTAATATAATCTGAGATCCTAGATCAAACACATAGCCAGGAGGTTTTATCGCTTTAACTTAGGCCCCTTCTACACTGACATATTATCCATATTATCAAAGCAGATAATCCACATTATCTTCTTTGAACTAGATTTATGAGTCTACACTGCCATATAATCAGTTCAAAGCAGATAATCTGCTTTAATAACTAGTCATCAACCTGAAGAGATGGAGGACTGTGCTGCAGGATGATGTGACCAGCCCCCTCCCACCAGCAAGTGATGCTATGACATCTCTCTACAGAGGTCCCTGCCTCTGTTCATAGTGTCACTCAATGGTGTGATGAGTTGGTCATCTCATTCTGCAGCATCTTACTTAGCAGCAGCACAGACCTCTGTCACTCTAGATCAGTGGTTCTCAACCTGTGAGTCCCCAAATGTTTTGGCCTTCAACTCCCAAAAATCCTAACAGCTCGTAAACTGGCTAGGATTTCTGGGAGTTGTAGGCCAAAACACTGCTCCTCTTTGAGGACTTGAGGCATTGGGCAGTGTGGGGTTGAATTCCAACAGATAGAAGGAAGAGAAAGAAGGCAAGAAGAAAGGGAGGAAGGGTGATTCTGAGAATTGTTGTAATAATTATGTTGATACAAAGCAGGAAGTAGGATTCTAGTGTAAGATTCGTGCAAGAAGGAGTGAGTATGGATTTCCGTATTTGATTCCCTAGTTCTGTATTGCTAATAACGGAAGAATAATCTGATAAGAGAGACAATTTTATGTTGATAAAATAAGTGAGTCATTAATTGCTGTTGCACTGTTGTTTATTAAAAATTAGTGGTAACGTTGTTTAGAATATATGAATATTTGAAGCATCCATTCCCTTCCCCCTGTTTTGTTTTATAGCTCGGAAGTTTGTAGATATAGTAATACAACTATGCTTCTTGTTAGGGTCATATGTGTTTTAAAATGCATTTATTTTCTAGATTTGAAATGCATGTTTAATATGAATTAGTAGATTCAAAGCCTGCACATATTCATATATTCAGCATAATAACTCTCTAGTAAGAAAATTAGGATTGCATGCACACACTTGTATACAGTAGAGTCTCGCTTATCCAACCTTCGCTTATCCAAAGTTCTGTATTATCCAACACAGTCTGCCTCCTGCTCGGATCCACAGGTGAGGGAAGCGTAGTGTATATTTACCTGTGGAATAATGTCCAGGGTGGAAGAAAGAATCCTTGTCTGTTTTGGTTTTAAATTAGTAAATACAGTAATTATGACATAACATTACTGTGTATTGAATTGCTTTTTCTGTCGATTTGTAAAACATGATGTTTTGGTGCTTAATTTGTAAAATCATAACGTAATTTGATGTTTAATAGGCTTTTCCTTAATCCCTTCTTATTATCCAACATTTTCGCTTTTCTAACGTTCTGCTTGCCCATTTTTGTTGGATAAGCGAGACTCTACTATATACTGCTCCTCTATTTATTGATAGTGCCTTCCATTCTGTCTCATAAGAGGAAGAAATTTAACAATACAGCTTTTTGCATAATAGCCGAGAGAATATATCTATCAATTTATCTGCTTTCCACCTACATCTGGAGCGCCATACACTCACCACTCCTACCTTTAAAAGACTAGTATGGTCTTTTCAAAACAAAGATCAGTTGTCTTTTCTTTATTTTCGGTGCTTTACTTGATTGTAATCATGAGCTTGAGACATACATTGAATGATTCAGGTAGGAAGGGCAATTCTGTTCCATCGTGCATCTTCCCCAGATGCCATAGCATCATTCTATATTGTTTGTTAAGAAGTAATTGGAGAATTTTGCAGTCACATAAAATCATGTTAGAAACTGCTTTTGAGAACTGCTGAGTTAACAAGACTGGGGGTGGGCGTTAGGTGGGGAGGACGGCATTGGATGAAAAGCACTGCCGTTCTAGCAGTGGGGTTCATTGCCCTCTGCATCATAATTTGTCAGGCTGATGCCCAAGAACAAGAGCGGTGAGACTCACTAGACTCAACGGCTCCTGATATGGGCATCTCCCCACTGTAAATTAGCTTCCTGTTAGATCAGCTAGACAGCTTGCCAGAATTGTCTGGCTGCTTTGAAGGCTGATCTTATTTTGCCTATAGATTCTCTGCATCCTGGATAGGAGGGCATCTTAGCATGCAATTGTTAGGAGTGTAGCTAAAAAGAAACTTGCATACTGGGGACACTTGCCACCATGCTGGCAAGCTCTGATGTTCCATGAAAAATAAGCCTTTTTGAGGACCACTTCTGAGGAAAAGTGACATATAAATAAAGTAATTGATTGATATCTCCTGAAACCTTTACCAGGACCCTGGGAAATTTACCTTTTTTTGGGGGGGGGGGACATCTCTCGAAATTCTTCAGTCACCATGGATTATATGGCAGTGTAAACTAAGATAATACAGTCCAGATCAGATAATGTGAATTTTCTGCTTTGATAACCTGGATTATCAGGTAGTGTAGATTAACAGGTTTGAATGGGTGCATTCTCTGTATCTTCAGCAACTTCAACTGCAGTTGTTATAATGGGATAAATGCTAATTTTCAACCTTGAGGAATATGTAAGTCAGGAATGGACGCATGTGAACTTCTAGATGTTGGGCTGCAGTGACCATCTCCATTCACCAGTAGCTTTGTTGAACAGGGCTGATGGGAGTTGCCATCAGTATAGGTGAACATCTCAGGTGCCTTTAATATGGAAATTGAGTGTTATGTGATGCTATGGGAAGTTACTGGAAGACAAATCAACATGCAAGACTTTTGGCAGGCTTAATCTAGATTGATGCTCTCAGGTGCTGTGGAGGATGCTGTCCCAAAGTTTTAGGGCCCTTCCACCCAGCCATATAACCCAGAATATCAAGGCCACAATATCTGCTTTGAACTTAAATATCTGAGTCCACACTGCCATATATCCAAGTTCAAGGCAGATAATGTGGGATTTTATTCAGCTGTGTGGAAGGGACCTTAGTGTAATATTTAATTGCCAATCTAGGTAGTTTCTGTAGTTGTTGGCATTGCCATCTTGTTCTTTGACTCAGACAGAAAAATATCTTAAGCCATCCTGAGTACATATAATTATATATGTACTCAGGTTGAGAGTCCTGAAAAAGCATTGTTCCTAACCATGCAGATGTATAAAAACTCGAAGACCATAGTAATTGCCTGATCTCAGAAGCTATACAGGGACAGGGCAGGTTAGTACTTGAAAGTGAACCCAACATGTGGTGCTAAGTGCTGTAAGCCATATTCAGGGCCCTTCTGCACAGCTATATAATCCAGAATATCATGGCAGAAAATCCCACAATATCTGCTTTGAACTGGTTTATCTGCATCCACAGAAAATGTGGGATTTTATTCAGCAGTGTGGAAGGGGCCTCTGTTTCTCTGCAAACTACAGGAACATTAGCAAAGATGGGGATATGGATGGCAATTGTGACAATCCATCAAGACCTCTTTGGGGTACATTTAGAACCTTGCAGTTGTTTCTAATATAATTTAAGGCTTCTGTATATTTCTGGAGTGAACTAAATTTAACAAGCTGAAACATGTCCAGAGCAAAGCAACCAAAATAGTAAAAGGTCTGGAAACCATGCCCTGTGAGGAGTGGCTTAAGGAGCTGGAGAAGAGAAGGGTCCGAGGGGACATAATAGTTGTGTTTAAATATTTGAAAGGGTGTTATATTGAAGATGGAACATGTGTTTTTGCAGCATCAGAGACTAGGATACAGAGCAATAGATTCAAACTATGAGAAAATATGATAGTGAAATCTGTTCAGCAGTGGAATGCACTGCCTCGGATAGTAGTGGAAACTCATTCTCTAGAGGTTTCAGAGCAGTGGCCAGATGGCCATCTGTCAGGATGCATTTCTGCATGAAACAATGGGGTGAAACTGGGTGGTACTTGTGGTTTCTTCAGACTGCCATCATTGCGGCAGAAATCAGTTACTCTAATGGTTTGAAATAAATAAAACAGTAAAAGTACTGTTCATCAAGAAGTTATCCAGAGTTGTTTTGTGTCTTGTGGACACTAACAAGCTAGGAAAAGGTGATGTGTAGGGCCATGAAAGGGAAAGGGTGGGGAATGCTTGATAATGCAAGACAGTCATGTTTTGAAACAGCCCATAGGCATATGTTTGGAATATCAGTAGATCTGTTTTGTTCTGCAATGATCAAACAGTTACATAGATACTGGACATTACACAGAATTGGTGTTACATTGGAAAAAAACCTATAGTATCATTTTGGATTGAGATAGAACTAGCCCATCATTTTCCAGAAGGTTTTGAATGGCCAATGTCATAATCAGCTATGTGTTATCACCAACAAGTTACTGCAAGCATTTAGCTCATGTGCTGTGTCATCCTCCTCCTGCATGGCCACAAGAAGAAGTTATGATCATATCTCATGTCATTGCCTCAAGCACATGTAAGTGATGTGGAGCCACTTTCTAGCATGTCTTAAATCATTGTCAAATTTTCTCATCTTCCAAGAGCATGTTTTTGGGACTGTGCTTGGATACATTAAGTGGTCATGCTGGAGTAGCAATTCTGGCTGGAGTACTGTTTCTAATTCTCAGGTACAAGAAGACAACGAGGAAAAAGAGATGGAAGTGAAAACACTGCTCCATAACTATCGTACCTGAAGAGTACATGTAGAGCCACTATGTTGTAATTTGAGAACAGGAATAGGGAACCAGGAGACCGTGGGGCTTATGTACACTAGAACATTATAGTGGTGTTATTCCACTTTAGCTGCTATGGCTTTATCTAGGTGACCATGGGAATTGCAGTTTGGGGAATGGTATTAAGAATTTGCTGTCAGAGGGATCCAGTGCCTCAACAAACCACAGGATTCTGTAGGATGGAGCCTTGCCAGTTA